CTAATAATAATTTTTAGAGGTGTCAGACCTTCTTCCTCTAATGATTTGGTTGTCAGTGTAGCAGTTTTTTTATAGATGAGAGACATATAGTTGTGAATCCTGTGCTGTGCAGCTTCTCTGGCCTTTCCTACCTGTTGATGATGATTTAGTGTAACACATTAGCAGTAATAAAGATGCTAATCTGTTGCTTTCTGCGTTTTTACATGCTCTGTGGTTAATTTAATACATTCTGTAGCTCTTTGTTTAGAAACTTTTGCTTCATCTGGATCATTGTATCATGCTTCTGCTTCTTAAATGTGTTTGCCTTGCACCAGTTACTAACACAGGTGGCGATTCAGCTCAAGAAATAGAGATAGATTATTCCTGAAGAATAAGCTTCATTGCCATAGTTCTCAAGCTGGGATCACTGGAACATTGTAAGAATAATTGGTCATTCTTTATTTGTCCTGTTGAAAACTACTTAGACGTTTTAATTCATTTTCAAAAGCTGCCAATGTTTTAGCTTCAGCTGGAGTCGCATAAAGGAAGGAAGGGGACCAGAACTAACTGTCAGGTGCATGTCTCCAGGTGGAAGATGAGCTGTAGAAATGCCCAATAAATTATATATTTTTTTTAAATATTGTTTTTTCTTTATACCAGGATGCTAAATTGCAGTAAAAGGCACCTATGAATGCTTAGCTCTAATAGGTAGTAGAATAAGGTCTGTAATGAAGTAGCACTTGATTATACTTTAGATGTGTCAGGTCTATTTTATAGCATTAATCCAAATTAAACGTATTTAATGGGCCATATGGTCCTCTTCATTTTTTCAAATTTGTAACATAAACCTGTAACATGATGCTGAAAACCAAAACGAACTCCAGAGAAAGAAAATTATTCAATTACAAATAGCATGTGTGTCCTTGTGCTGACATGAACCGCCTCTTGATTAGTGTCTAACCACAGGGCTCCCTTTCCTTCCAACCTAAAGGGAGGGCTTGATTGACACAGCAGAGACCAACCTGAGCAACTGAGTGATCTAAATAGTGCTATTATCTGTGTTTTACTGTAAGACTAACCAGCTGAAGATATGTAGTTTGTCTGCTCTACAACAGGGAGTTAGTTCTTACAGAGCGTGTTGCTGATAATTTATTCTAGATGCATTTTACAGATTTCCACCCCCCCCAACATAAAAGCTAACATTTAAAGAATCATTAAGTAGGACCTGATTGCAGCTGGTGAAGTAAAGCAAAGCAATTAATTTTTTTTTCCAAAGTGGGAACTCACAAATTGTTTTTTGCTTATGTGAAAAGAAAGATTCTGTGGGTTATCAGAATTAAAATTAATCAAATTGTTAAATTATAAAGAGGGGTTTTTTTTCTAAGTGACACCATTTTAGATTTAAACATGCAAAAATAGCAGATGAGCTGTTGGGGGCGGGGAGGGAAGAAAGGAAAGGGAAAGCAGGATGCCAAAGTAATTGGAGAACTTTTAAGTCCTGTGTTTCTGGACATTGGTGTAATCTTGTCCCCCAGCCCTGTCACTTCTGTGACCCTCATCCCCTGCTGGTCTTTTACTTGAGAATGACCTTCATTTCCAGCAGCAGGAATTTTTTCCCAGTCAGTCTTTCATCTCTGTTCTGCACTGATGCCCCGTTGGCTTGCAGTAAGGGTCAGGCATTCTGCTGCCAGGCATGGAAGTTGTCCTGCTTGTCATAAATGGCATTTACAATTTTGGGAGATGGTCTTTTCCTGGTTTCCTGGTGGCTGCGTATTGAAAGAAATTTGAGACAGTGCTTGTACGTTTTGATAGCAGTGTTTTTCACATGATACAAGAACACTATTTCCAGTTGATTAACAAGGTGGACTTTGAAGTTAATTTCTGTGTCAGAAACAGTAGTGCAGAAAGAATGAACAAAGATTTAGAGTGGATCTTCTAGGTAAAGATGAGGAGGGAAAGAAATGAAAGCTGCAACTAACAAAGCCAGTATTTGTGGGTAATAGTCCCGTAAACAGGTGTTTGTAGGTGCGGCTTCAGGTACCTGTCCAGCTGCTGGTTTAATGCTAGAAACCCAGTTGGTATGAGACTTGATGTTACTTTTACCTGTAAAACAATAATAATAAATACAAGGCTAAGCTGCCTGGGCACTGACAAACAAATCTGTATAAATAAAAGAGCTCCACTCAGTCATATAAAGAAAAACTTCAATCCTATTTGAGATTTGATATACTTCCTTCCTATGGATGCTGATCCAGGAGGATACAGCATTCCCTTGTGTTTAAGTCTGTGTGAATGTCTCACATCATCTCAGATGGCATTAGATAACTCATTGAGTGTAGAATGCCCCACCACCTCATTCCTCCCACCCCATCTCCCATCATTCCCCTGCCTGCCACCATTCTTCTGTATGGTGAGACTGTCTCATTTTTGCATCTTACTCCAGGAAATTGTTCCTCAATTAATTTTCTTACAGCTGTAAAACAGGGGTGGAGGAAGAAGTTTGCTTTGCTGATTCCTTCAGCTTCTTAATTGCTTTGATTTGTTATTGTATGTGAATGGTGGGCTGTTGTTCTTGCATTGACCAAGTTAATAGCTTGCCTCTTAGTTTAACAACACTTCAGTGATGAGAAAATGTTATTAATTGTAGGACATTATTATTCTTTATCTTAAGGTCCATTAATTTTGGGAAACATTTCATTTGTTTAATGAATGCAAAACACACTACATGAACTTGGCAGTCGTTGCCAGAGACTTGAAGAATGCTGATGGAGAGTCTGCCTAACAATAAAAATAAATGGGAAGGGTACAGTGTCTTGCACAGAAAGCATTCTCCCATATTAGTGCAGTGTTAAGTATTTATTGTTGAACTGGTCGTTATGGGGGACTTGTATGTCACAGCAGTGACAGTTGAACAAAGCAGTTAAACTCTTAAGATGCAGGCACTATTGTATTGAACATTCCTGTCATAAAAATAGAAATCCTATACCATAAAGGATGGTGATGTAAAAACCAAAAAGTACTGTATCTCATTATACTCTTAACTGAATATTTAAACATTTCAATGTAAAATTTCATCCATAAGAAATATTTCATTGTTGCTATAGCAAGGAAAAAAGCAACAGATTGTGTTTGAATAGTTAAAATGGATGCAATAAAGTGTTTTCTGCGGGACAGAAGGCTGGCTAGAAGTCAAGCTTGAACTTCTGAAAAAAGCAGATGTCTCTTCTTTCAGTTCCTGGTTTTCTAGCACCAGTGGGTGGTGGTGTATATTCAGAATTAACTGACTCTACCATCATTTTCACCTCTTAGAAACAATATAGAAATGGGAACAGTATCAAAATGCTCTGTTAATTACCTGTGTCCCAGCAGTATGTATAACCTCGATTGTTGGGGTTTTTGTGATTGCTTTGGGGTTTTTTTTGTGAGACCTAATCTGCTTAGCCAATTGATTGTTGGGGTTTTTGTGATTGTTTTTTATTTTTTGTGAGACCTAATCTGCTTAGCCAATGACAATAATGATCCAGTTTTCTAGTGTTCTTGATACTTAGTCAATAATTTGTGATTGAAACCTTCTCAGGAATGGTGAAAAGGGGGAGTCAAACTCAGGAACAAAAGTAGTACTTAAAGGCATGCCTTTAAGTTTAAAGATGTTTTAAAAAAAATCTCATAATCTAAATCTAAAATATCCCCAAGACACCCCAATTTAAACTTTTGTCTGCGATGTTTTGACAGCTATGACTTACAAATGATACCTAAGGTTAATGCTACATTAATGTTTAATTTTTATTATGCTTTTTTCTTGCTGTGTCATGGAGAGCTAGGCTTTTGGCTGCTGTAAGTCATGTTGCTCCATGAATATCTTTAAAGAGGACAGTGTTTACTAGCGGGGGCTGCAGGTACAGAAGGGAGCTCTTGTTTCTGTTTTGACTGTAACTCTCAGTCTTTTTGGACACACCGTGCACAACTGAATGTGTCTAAGAGCAGGAGCAGAAACGTTTAACAAAATAGAGAATGATACAACCACCTCTCAAAAATACTTATGAAATGAAAGCTGTTTCTTGAAGCTATTTTAAAATAGTTTTCTATGAGAAAGCAGGAGCAGAAACGTTTAACAAAATAGAGAATGATACAACCACCTCTCAAAAATACTTATGAAATGAAAGCTGTTTCTTGAAGCTATTTTAAAATAGTTTTCTGTGAGAACCTCCAGCCCTTATTTATACTGGGTTACATGTGATTGCGTTCGTAGCACAGAAGTGAAACTGAGAAGCAATAATTATGCTAATTTAAATACAGAAAAATACCGAGATTTGTCTCTTTCTAACTCTTAAAATGTTTTCATGCTCACCCCAGGAACTTTAATGCAGAGAATCTGGTGTATTTTGCTATTAAAGGAGAAATAATCTTACCCTGTTCTCGTAGAAAGCTAGTAATTTAGTAGGGAGGTCTGAGGAAGTTATGTTATACTATATAAACTGTTAGCTAAATATGAATAATCTCTAGTACTTCAGCTTCTTAACATTTTTAAAAAGAAACCTAAGTAGCTTATTTGCTATAATAGATGTTGAAAGCCTTTGTGCCTGCTGTTTATTAAGTGTTTAATTACCTGATGTGTTTGAAAGCTACACTAGGATGTGGCACTCACTTGGGCTTGTTTTCCAGTTTTCATCTTGTATTTCTTGCAACTCTATTGCTAAGATTTCACCATTAAATACTTACGTGAAATAAATACAAACATGTCATTGACTAGAATTAGGTAATTTACCCAGAAAATGTGTATTTATATATCTTTAGCCTTTTAATTGTTTTTCTCTTAACCTCTACTCTGCATTGCCAGCATTTTGTCAACCACAGATAGACCTTTTTGCACCAGTGTAAGTTCCAGCTTGATTTTAAAATGCTTCAACCCTAATATGATGCTTCAACCCTAATAATGCTGTGTAAATGAGATATTGATACGAGTTATTAAGAGTCTGGTTGCAAATAAGTAAGTAGAATTTTGATTTCTGTTTGTTTTTCAGAGCCAGAGCTTCACCTGTGTGGAAAAGCCACACTGTCGGGCATCTAATGTGAGTTCTGTGCAGACCCAGGGAGATGCAGATTATTTCATCAACCACCTTGGAGTCCCTGCCACACAGTTTTCATATGAGGACATCAAAACATCCGAGGTAATTAGAAATAAAAATGTACACACTGAAAATAGCAGAAAGATAGAATTAGATTTTCCCAGGTTATATCCTTACCTGACAAGTGGAAGATTATCTCCTGGTTTGGATCTTTAGGGGGTTACCACAGAACTTCAAAGTGACTGATTTTATTGGGGTGTGGCATTCAAATGAACAGGTAAATGTTTAGAACAAATGAAAAAAAAATTGTAGGACATAATGTTAAAAATGTTAGTTTTGCTGATAATATTATAGATTACATATTATCTAGCCCAACTTTACAGACTGCTTTCAACATCAAGGAAACGAGTTTTGATGTGTATTTTTTTTCCTGTGCAGTAGGAATGACAATGTCTGTGTCACTTAGCAGCTATTCCACATAGTTTTCATTCCAGATCTGCATATACAGGATCTCTAGAGCACGAGAAAGAAACTGCAAACTTCAGTATATCAGAATAATAAGTATTTCCCAGCAACATTTACAATATGAACCCTGAAGGTTATTTCTTATTTCTCTCCCTTATTTCTTTAAGCTTTGCCTTGTTTTTCTTTTTATATGAGCATCATCCCATATCATTTTCCCTCTTTTTGTGGAGCGCCTTAAAAATGTAGTTTTATCTTCTGGATTCAACATTTTATATCTGATGGCCACACTTGCCTTTTTACCTTCATGAAAGGAGACATGGGAAAGTAGTTTTTAAAAGATCTACATTGGACAGTGCAGTAGGGGACTTCTTCATTAAAGAGAAAAGAACTAACCCCACGGTTGCAAGTTAATTCATTTTGATTATGTCTGTCTCAGTAGAGTTTATAGCATGGTTACTGAAGTACTGGAACATAAGTAAATCACAGAGACTGAGAAAAGTCGCCTTACTGGGGCTGCCTAATGTTTGGGTACAAGAGAAAATATAATCTGGATTTGCTATGGTTTCAGTTAGAGATTTGATTGTTTGATTTTAAATCAAACATTAAACCGTTCAGCATTTTGAAGCCATTCCAATCACCTGCAAACTTAAGCTGGTACAGGGGTATTTTGAGCTTTTTTCAAGGTGCAAATAGACTGTTACTATTGATTTCTATGTCATCGTAGTCAGCGGTTTCAAGAAGAATCCAATTTTTAAATTTATAGCTGGATGATCTCCTATGTTATCTGCATATTATCATCCTTTTCAGTGCATCCTAGTACATAATGATTCCTGTCTGGTAACACAGAATCTTAAATTCCTTCTGTGATAATGTGGTAGGTTACATCAATGTTAGCATTATCATTTTGTTTTGACAAAAATAAGTTACTACACATTATTATTTAAAAAATCCCACCTGGCCTCTTTTTTTTGTTATTTATTGATGGACACATATTTAGCATGAAATATTTTATTGTAGCTGTCCCAAGTTTGGGTATGCAGGGCTTCCAGAACATTTACTTTTACACCTAGGCCATAAAAGTTGTTTTCCGTATCTTCACTCCAACTTAAGTACAGGCAAGAAGTATAAAAATTACCTGTCACATTATTCACAGGCTAGACCAAGCTAGTGTAATACCATGGACCACTAAGCTAATTTAGAAGAAAAATGAAAAGAGGTTTCTTTATAGAAGGCATTTGTATGTAATATATGTAGAAGAGTTTAGAATTTTGACAGTTTGAGATTGTATCCTCTTTAGAGAGAATGCATAATGATTTTTATTTCTGTTGAAATATGCATAACTTTTTGAAGGTAACTTTCAACTTTCATTAGAGCCCTTAAAAGTGATTTTCGCCCACACTGGTGTAACACAGAGGCCACTAAATCTTAACTCTTCAATGAATGTGGCTTCTCAGTTGTTTTGAGCATCTGTCTCCACTTCCTCCGTTCACCCCTCTTTTCTTCCTTTTTTTATCACTCTTTGGGGAAACTTACTGCACTTCCTTGATTTCAGTATTTACATGCTTAGACTGACACATTGTGCGCTTCTTTCAAAAGAAATCAAAAGCATTCCAAGTTGTCTTTGTTATGAGAAAAGAAACAGAGGAGCTGTCCTTGATGGAGAGAACCCGGGGTCTACTTTATCGAAAAATAACTCCTGTGTTGTGCGTTGCTTTTATCTCTTTCATGTGCTGGTGTTAGTGTGGAGGGAAGGCTCAAGCAGTACGGAGCACTCTTCAGTGCATCTGCCTTGTGTCTTTTTAAAAACAAATGGGAAACTGGTGTTTATACCTTTTTTTGTCTGCGTGGAACCAGTGTGGAATGGCTGTAAGTTGTGGTGTTCTGGGGTCAGTGAGTGGGACCCCCATTTTAATCCTGTCTTATGGGGACTTTCAGCTGCTCTTTCATTTCTTGCAGTGTTCTTTTAATCAAGGTAAGGACCATACCAATTTGTAGAAATCAAGGTGGCATAGAGAAGTTCTGGTTGTTGGCCACGGCTGAAGGGTGAGGACTCTACCCAGTCAGCAAGACTGGCCACACTGGGACCTTACCAAAAATAGCTTTGTCCCACTGATGACTGTGAAATTCTGTTTCCTATCATTATTGATTCACTGAGTTGGTTCTAATTATGACCTTGACATGATGTTTGTATTATTTAATTTTAGTTCAGTGAAAGTGTCTAAGTAATTAGCCTCTGGGAGAAGTTTAATTTACTGTAAGTGGAACTTGTAGGAAGCATTTGGAGGGGTTTTTTATTTTCAGATTTGGAACTGCCTTATCAATCATCGCAGCACAGGTAATTCAGCGGTGTAGTTGAAGGCCACTGGCTCTATTACTACATGAATAGCTGCATCCATTACCACTATAACCTCTAGCACACTGTTTCTTAGATTTCATAAAATGAGCAATGAAAATAAAGTTAATTTCTGTCTACCAGTGAGCTATTACCATTTATCTGGCTGCCAGAATTTATTAAAAGCTACTGTTCCTTTGGAAGAACATTTCTCTGTATCTCTGGTACAGACTGGACTGTATATGTCAACACAGCTGAAAACAACCAGTAAACAGTTTGTGAGCTGGAGAAGGACATACACTCCCCAGTGACAGACACAACCTCTGTCTTCATGCTGCAATGGCTGAGCTGAAACTTATCCAGGGATGTAGTGTGGATTTAATGTGAAGCAGGTGGTTATATTGGGAACAAACTCTGATAACTGTCCCTAACTTTTCTGACCAGTGCTCTCTTATAAAATTTGTGTCAAGGATTATTTATATAGATAATATATACATTTAAAACCACGCATTTTAGATGCATATATATGTATATATATAAAATCAAGGTGGCATTATGGAAGGCAACAAAGCCTATGGTGTAGTTTTTTCAGCAAATTCTGGGTAAAGTGAGAAATATAACTCCACAAACACAGCTTTGTACCTGTGTGCATATATCTAAAGCCAACTGGCATTGTCTGATCTGTAATATCCTATATTGAGAGCCAGTTTTGCATCACTGTGTAGTTCACTGGTCAAACAGTTACAGGGCTTAAAGTCAATCAGTTTTTATGGTCTGAAGGTTTAGTTCTCTATAGTCCTAATGCAGTTATCTCAACTTATTGCATCACATCATTAATCTCACTGTTACTTTGTATCCATATACTTCCAGTATGTCCTCCAGTCCCTTTGCAGACAGGAAAGAGTTAGTTACTGTCTTGAGATTTATGACTGACTACTTGGCTGATCCACAGCTGACCAGGCTCTTCTGGTGAATTTTATGCTGGTTTTCTTCTCTTATTATTTATGACCTTCTGGATTAAGTGTCACCCAGTAACAATCAATTTATCAGATCCAAATACATTTATCAAAGCATTCAATTAGAAACATTGTGGCATCGTTTTCTTTGAAGGACCAGGGTGGACCTGGTGTCTATATACAATGACAAGGTGTACTTACTTCAGCCTTAGCTGCTCAAAGTGGAGTTTCCAAACCTGTGGCAGATGCATGAATGTTCTTAGAAGAGAATTAGAACCAGTTGTTTGAGCTTGATATTCCAGGGATATTCCTGCCCTAAGCAGAAGCCATAGACTAATGGGGAGTTTGCATGATAGCAGGGTGTTGCTGTCATCATCTGCAGGTTGGTAGCTTTTCCATCTAAAAATGTAGCTCTGCATGGCTCCCCTCCTTCCCTGTTCCACTCCTCTTCCACTTTCTCGCTGGTATATATTAAATTTTTTAAGGAAATACACAGCTAGTAGTTGCCCATAGAGAGTTCCAGGAGGTGTTTCATGCACATATGAAAAAAATCAAAGTACTAGTGTGCTGAGAATACCAGAAACTCTTTGCAAAGGAGCAAACGTGTGTCAGGCTCAGAATGGCAGGTTGCTTGGAAACCCAGGGTTTCCTTTTTCTAATCTGTCTCTGGAGAGTTTGCTGCTGTTGCATTTGCGGCTGAGAGATTTTATGAACTTTGTAGTAGAACTTTATGGTCAACAAGGTGTAGCACTGGGAGTTGGATGTGTCGAGGTGAAGAGAGAGGTTTCATTGCTGTTCCTGGACAAGTGATGAACTGCCAGTGTGTAACCAAAGATAGTTCAAACGGTCCCCAGTAGATTGTCTTGTAACTACTTGTGCAGGTAGGTCCGAACCACAGCTGCCTTCCTCACTCACGGGCTATACTGTCTTTTTAATAGCTGTGCCTTTGTTTCTTCATACTGTATTTCTTCTGGCCGACATGTTTTTTCAGTCCATCCTTAGCATAAATCAATGCTTTTTAATTTCTCAGTACATTCAGGGATTACTCAGCATAGAACTCACCAGCACTACAGAAATACATTAATCCATCTGTTCGCTTGGACACTAAGTGAGTTGAATTTGTTAGTAAGAGCATGCTGAAATTGTTAAGGTTAATGACTCGGTATTTTACAAGACAAAATATGTTTGATGTTCAATTGATTGCTTGAGTTGTTTTATTGAATAATATGAATATTTAACTACTTAATTTCATGGAAGAGCATCTTTGTTATTCCATTTATGTTAGTGAAACTGATGATGTTCTCGTCAGTTGGATACTTTGCTCCAAAGAAAATCTGTTTTATCTCACA